TCATATCCCCCCACCCTCATGCAGGGATGACATGCATATTCATGAAGCAGTCCTTCTTTTTGTTTAGTTCTTTGAGACAGGGTTTCCCTGTAGCTTTGGAGCCAGTCCTGGAACTTGCTCTGTAGACCAGGCTGGCCTCAAACTCACAGAGATCCGCCAGCCTCTGCCTCCTGAGTGCTGGGACTAAAGTCCTGTGCCACCACTGCCCAGCAGATTTTAGTTTTTTACAAGTGTATTTATATGTGTGAATTTGAAGGTCATGAAACTAGAAAGGTACTATGAGAGGAAAAGAAGCAATATTAAAATAGCTGTGGGGGTAAACAATTTCCTCTGACATTAAAACTTTCAGTTTTTTAGGGGCATCTGTTAAGACACATAATATTAAAGGGGAGGTAAAACAAGAGGGTGTTGGGGAGGTGAACTATTCCATCCTGCAAGAAAGCTCCTTAAACTCAGGAAGTAAACAACTTAATAGTCACAGGATGTCCCTGATGCTGAGCAGATTCACTAGACACTCCTCCCCAAGCACATGTAAGCAGTGAAACCTGGAGAGAGATAGATACTTTCAGTCAAACTGAGCTACAAAGAAGATGCTCAGACCAGCCAAGCCACCTAAAATAAGCAGAGACCATGTAGCTGCTTGGATGACTGGAGCTTTGTGAAAGAGACACAGATTTTCCTAGAAGATAGATTCTCTCCTGGTCCTAACAAGGTCCCTGTCGTAGTCCCTTCTGGAGAGGAATTTATGAAAATACAGTCTTTTGTGTATTGGTTTGGAGTTTTGTTTGTTTGTTTGTTTTGTTTTGTTGTTTTTCAAGACAGGGTTTCTCTGTATTGCTCTGGAGCCTGTCCTGAAACTTGATCTGTAGACTAGGCTGGCCTCGAACTCACAGAGATACACCTGCCTCTGCCTCCCAAGTGCTGTGATTAAAGGCATTTGCTGCCAACACCCGGGTGTGTCTGGATTCTTGCACTCTGCATTAGGTCTGTAAGTTCTTCCATGAATCTCTTTGTATAAGAGGAATTCATTGTTTCTTCTCTGAGACAGAGTTTCTCTGTGTTGCCTCAGTTGTCCTGGAACTCACTTTGTAGACCAGGCTGGTCTTGAACTCACAGAAATCAACCTGCCTCTGCCTCCCAAGTACAGGGTTTACAGGCAAGCGCCACCACTGTCTGGTGAATTCATTATTTCTTAAGGCTGTTTAGTATTTGCCTATATGACAATCCCACAGCTTCTCTGTCCTTTTCCTGCTGATAGATGTTTGGGTGGTATACATTTAACATTTATTTTGCATTATTAAATAATTTAACACTTATTTTTGTGTTTGGTGTGCATTTTCTATCTTTAAAAATTTTTTAATTATTATTTTATATGTATAGGTATTTTGCCTGCATGTATGTTTGTGAACTATATGTTTACCTTGATGCCTGAAGAGTGCATTGGATTCTCTAGAACCAGTTACAAATGATTGTGAGTGAACACATGGATGCTGGGAATTGAACATGGGCTCTCTGGAAGAGCAGGCATTGTCATTTTTAAAAAAATTAATTTAAATTTATTATTTTGTGTGTGTGTGTTTTATGTGCACGCATCTCGCTGTGCGCCACATGAATGCAGTGCCCTGGAGGCCAGAAGACGTTGACTCCCCTGGAACTGGAATTATGTATGGTTGTGAGCCACCATGGGTAGTGTTGGGAATTGAACCTGGGTCTTCTGCATGAACAAGTATATGCACCATAACTTAGCCACTGTACCATCTCTCCAGCCCTGCAGGCATTATTCTTAAGCACTGATCCATCTATCCATCCCTTACCTATCTTTTTTTTTATTTGTTTACATTTATTTATTCATTTATTTTGAGACAGGGCCAGTAGTACTGACTGTCCTAGAGCTCACTATGTTGAGCAGACTGGCTTCACACTCAGATTTTTCTTCCTCTGCCTCCTGAGTGATGGGATTAAAGACATTCTCACAATGCCTGCTTTGCCTTACCTTGTCTTTTAGGGACATACACATGCAGCTCTGCTGGCTGTGGGAATCATGGAGCATTTGCTGTATTATGGGGATCCAGGTGTATAGAACATTCCAGCTGCTCCATGTGTTTGCCAACACAGAATATTGTATGGTCAACTGTTGTCAATGCTCATTTAAGCAGTGGTAGATAACTTTTAAGTATATTTAAAGGGCCTAACAACTCTTTCCTGTTATCAACTAATGCTGTGGGTGGTTGCTGAATCTGAAATAACTCTGTCAAATCATGTACAGAAGGTACCTGACTTAAGATGTTTCCACTATTTAATCCCAGCACTCGAGAAGCAGAGGCAGGTGGGTCTCTGTGAGTTCAAGACCAGCCTGGTCCACAAGAGCTAGTTCCAGGACAGCCTCCAAAGCCACAGAGAAACCCTGTCTCAAAAAATCAAAACCAAAAAAAAAGTTTCCATTTACCATTTTTTGGACTTTGTGATACTGTGACATCTGCTCAGTAGGGGGAAGTGACTGCCTTGTAGCCTAGCATTGAGCTAAACACCCAGTTCCAATTTGAATTTTAATGTTTTCCTGCATTCCTTTTTCATGATGCTAGTCAGTGCAGTAAGTCACAGCTGCTGGAGAGCCTTATAACCATAAGGGACCAACTGACATATTACAGTGTACTCTGTTGCTGGGCCAGGATGCTAGGCAGGTGAGATACCTACATTGGATACCCAGTTTTTTTCTCAGCACCATTTGTTGAAAAGGCTATCTTTTCTTATCCTTAAACTATAATTTTGCCCTTGGTTCTCAGTACTTAGAATTTTTAAGTCCTGTCACTCCACAGTAGAGAGCCCTGATGATGTTTGAGTAATCTCTTCCAATTTATTTCTTGTTGGCCAAAGTTGGGTGAAAAGAAAGCTTGCTGTTATCTGTAGCTTTCCCTTCTCTGAGGGATGTGGTCCCTAGGATAAGCCTGCTACAGGGAGTCCGCCAGAATGACCCCTGAGCCACAATTTATAGGCAACTGAGAGTTTTTAGTCCAGCTGGCTGAGATTGCATTCAGGTATTTAGGACCCAAATGCATCACTCAGTGTTTAGGGTAAGGGGTTTTGAAAGCAAAAACACTTCCTGGTATCTCATATTGCACTTTCAGAGGGCGGTTTTGCATAAGCAAGCCACTTAACAGAAGCCAAGATAAGTTAACTGGGGCACTGTGACCTCAGGTTCCTAGTATAGATCTGGGTAACTTTCTACAGGATTCTCCATCAAGGAGATCAAATTCTAGTTAAACCTATATTCAGCTAGAATACAATCTGGAAGAATATCTGCATTGTTTAGCCCTATCACACACCCTCCTAGCATTTCAGATGAGCTTAAAACATAGGAGTTAACTAAAGACAGTAAAACATGTTCATCAACAAGCTTTCTCTGAAAGGTCTTGGCATAAAAGAGAGAAAACAAGAAAATTTATTTAGTAGGTTTTCTCTGTGTAACACTGTATTCTGGCCAGGCATTGGTGGCACACACCTTTAATCCCAGCACTTGGGAGGCAGAGGCAGGTGGATCTCTGTGATTTCGAGGCCAGCCTGGTCTACAGATCAAGTTCAGGACAGCTTCCAAAATAATACAAAGAAACCGTGTCTTGAAAAAAACGAACCAAACAAACAAACAAAAAACACCCCACTATATTCTGTTTTTTAAAATCTTTCATACTGGGGGCTGGAGAGATGGCTCTGAGGTTAAGAGCACTTGCTGTTGCCGGGCGGTGGTGGCGCACGCCTTTAATCCCAGCACTGGGGAGGCAGAGGCAGGCGAATCTCTATGAGTTGGAGACCAGTCTGGTCTACAAGAGCTAGTTTCAGGACAGCCTCCAAAGCCACAGAGAAATCATGTTTCGAAAACGCCCCCCCCAAAAAAACCCAAACCAAATCAAAAGAAAAAGAAAAAAGGAAAAAACAACCAACCTAGAATACATTTCAAGAAGATAAATTGAAAACCTAGTCACAATAAAATGAAAGACCATCCAACTTTTTGTTGTAATTTCGAGACCATTCACAGGTATTGAGCTCACTGATTTACTGGATGAAAAATCTGGGGTTACAACAAGAAATATTGTGGCATAATTTTTTATTTATTTAATTTTAATTTTTTTATTACAGTGGTATTTTTTCATGCCACTTAGGTTCACTTAACAGAGAATGGAAGAGAAATGCTTATTGTTTGTTTTGCTTTTCAAGAGTGGGTTTCTCTGTGTAACAAGCCCTGGCTGTCCTGGTACTCGCTCTGTAGACCAGGCTGGCCTGGCTACAGATCCGCCTGCCTCAGTCTCCCGATTTGTTGGGATTACAGGTGTGCATTTTGAACCGAGGTGAATGTTGGAGAAGCCCTGGGGAAAGCTGAATTAGCCCTATCAACACCATTTTTGTGGGTCAGAGTGATTTAGTGATCCACTGCTCTTCATTGGCAGCTTGTTTAAAGTTCTGGGAAATCAAGCCTCTTTAATTTTAGGGGTAAGTACAAATGACACCATCCTTAGCTTCTTGTGAACTACTCTAGTCTCTAATTTTCCTAGTTAGTATGACATATCCGGCAGGCTATGGGAATCAAAGACAAACGGGCTACACATTCCGTATGCTTGCCTGACCCAGCGCACTCCCCAAAGTTGAGATGTGAATAGGCGACACGATGTAGCGGAGGCTGAGGCCAGTCTGAGCTGCCAAGCAAGACGTTGTCAAAAACCAACCACCCAGCTTTTAGATCCTAAGAAATTCAGGGTCTGATCCAGTCGCCCCATAGGGTTAAACTGTTCTCTGCTCATACTCCTCAAGGTCCTCCCCAAGCCGAACCTCGCGTCTCCAAAGCTGCCCAGCACAACGACTTCCTAGTGCAGGCGTCCCCAGTTGGTGAACCCCACTGCTCCAGGGCCCCAGCAGAAGCCGCGGAGTCAAGTTGGGCAGGGTCTACGCTCGGCGCTCGATTGCTCGAGCCTGACGACGACAGCGACCTTGCGACAGCTCTGCGCTCGAGGGGTCGAGCCTGGGCCGTGGCGGCGGCGGCGGCGGCGGGCGCGGGAGCGAGTCCGCGGCCGGGAGCGGGAATGTCGAGGAGTTCGAAGGCGGTGCTGGGCCTCTCGGTGCTGCTGACGGCGGCCACGGTGGCCGGCGTGCATCTGAAGCAGCGGCAGGACCGGCAGGTCGGTGTCACGTGACCGCGTCTTCCGGAGCGCGGAGCCCGCAGCGGTCCCCGCGCGCATGGCGGGCCGGCCCGGCTTCAAGGGCGCTTTCGGGTTTCTGACTCCTCTCCTCAGCCACGAGGCCTAGGGCTAGGGCGGACACCTGGGGCGGGGGTGTATCCCTGAGGTAGAGAGCAGTGGTAGGGCGAGCACGAGGCCCGGGGGGGCGCCACACCCCACAAAGCAATACCCAGTAATTGTTAAATCCCGAGATAACGCAGCTCACACCTAGCACACCCCAAGTGCCTTTGGTCAATGTAACTTGAGATTTTTGTAATTCCGGCGTTAAGTGAGCAGTCTGCTATGGAAAGCAGGTTCTGGAAACGGTAGAAGATAGCGCCCTCGACGTTTTCTTTTGAAGCTTTTATTTCGGGGACTATCTGGCTTATTGATCACGTCAGTTCTTATGCTCTCATTCAAGTTTGCAACGGTTAGTACGCTAGGCACTTTGAGAACGCATAGTTAATAATGGCCTCTCTAGAGTCTGTTCTTTTTCACAACGGAACTACACTCCGCAGGCCAGTATTTGTATTTGGCCTGACAGGTATTTCACTTGAACCGGATTTTACCAAAGGCAGATGTAATGCATTGAAAGCATCAAGAGTAAACAGCCTCATTGACTTTGGAATTAACAATCTAGAAATCGGAGAGGAATCTTGAAATGGCATAAGCATTTTGACGAGCTGGGTGGGATTTAGAGGAGAGAGATCAGAGATTTGGCGTTAAGAATAGTTCCATGGGGATATCTTTTGGAGTAGAAGCAAGAAACTTCCTTCTTAACGAGGAGGAAAAGGAAAAGATGGTTGTTCTGATTAAACTTGTAGGCTAGGACAGGATGTCTGTGTCGTCCTGGTGTGTTTTGAAGATGGGTTGGAATTAGAGCTTTGTCTCAAGCCGTGTTCCAGAGAAATTTTTACATGCAACCAGATTCCTTGAGGCACGGAGACTCAGCTATGTTCCAAAGCTACGCCAAGGTCTTTAATGAAACAGGGTTGAGAATGGAAGTGTGGGAGAACAGAAAGATTTAGGCATTTTGTGAAGTTAGTGATAAAGACTGACCAAATACCTCTCTGTAGATCTTCATTAGCAACTGACGGTCTAACATCGAGGAAGGCAGGATTGGTATGGTGGATGTGTTGAAAACCTCAAGGCAGCAATAAATGAAATAATGACTTGTTTTCTGTCTACACCAGGCATGGTGTTTTTCACTTTACATACATTGTCTTTAACCCTCGAAGCAACTTAGTAGAAGCCAAGTACATATGGGCCCTAACTTATAAACCGTTCAAGAGTTGGTTTTGACTATGATGATAGGAAAGCAACATGGTTTGTATTTAGTGAAACTTTCTTTGCATATTGAATTCTGTTATTTTCCTGGGCTGTGGATGAATGACAGGATTCTTTCAAGATGCTGGACAGCAGGACAAGCCACAGACCCTCGGGAGCTGTAGGATGGTGGTGTTCTGTGGTATAGTGTTGCTGAGTTCTGACATTCCATACGTTAGGTTAGACTCAGTATCCCTTTTGACTTTGTTGTTTTCAGTTTATTATGAGTTTTTCTGGGTGTAGTCCTATGGTAAGTTGAGGATGTTAGTGATTCTACAGGAATCACAGCTCTAGACGTTAGTATTAGGTTAGTAAAGAGCTGTCTTGGGGTTTCTACTGCTGTGATAAAACACCATGACCAAAAGCAACTTAGGGAGGAAAGGGTTTCTTTCAGCTTACAGTTTCATATCGTAGTCCGTCATCGAAAGAAGCTGAGGCAGGAACCTGGAAGTAGGAACTGAAGCAGAAACCATGAAGAACGTTGCTCACTGGCTTGCTCAGTTTTGCCTCCTTGTACATTCAGGACCACCTGTTCAGGAGTGGCACCACCCACAATGTATCAATCATTTATCAAGACAATACCCCACAGAGTTACCTCTAGGCCTGTCTTAGGAGGCATTCTCTCAAGGTTCCCTCTTTCAGGTGTTGGAGAGATGGCTCAGCAGTGAGGAGCACTGTTGTTCTTCCTAAGGGCCCATAAGCATCTATGTCAGGTGACTCACAACTGTCTCATTCCAGTTCCAAGGGATTCACTCTCTTCTGGCCTCTGCTACACACACACACACACACACACACACAGAGAGAGAGAGAGAGAGAGAGAGAGAGAGAGAGAGAGAGAGAGAGAGAGAGAGAGAGAGAGTAAAATTAAGAAATGTTCTCTTCAGACATGTCTAGGTTTGTGTCAAGTTGGTAAAAACTAACAAGTACAATTGATCCCTCATCAGCTTGATACAACATATCACTTATTAAGTTGTGATCTTTTCCTCTTTGTTCCTTAAGATCTCATATTAATATCAGTATCACAATATAAAACATATTCCTAACTTTAAAAGTCTCTGTCTTTAAAAGTTCAGGTTCTTTCTCTTTTGTGAGACAGGGTTTCTCTAAATCAGTGCTTCTCAACCTTCCTAATGATGTGACTCTTTGTTATGTTCCTTGCTACTTCATAACTGTAGTCTTGCTATGAATCTCAGTGTAAATATTTGTGGTTTTTGATGGCCTTAAATGACTCCTATGAAAGGGTTGTTCCACCCAAAAGGGTCACCCACAAGTTGAGAACCACTGTTCCAAACTGTCTTAGTTGTCCAGGAACTCATTTTGTAGGCGAGGATGGTTGCTAACTCACTAGATTTGTCTGTCTCTGCCTGCTGAGTGTTGAGATTAAAGTCATGTACCACCATTTCTGGCCCATGTTCAGACTCTTTAAAATGTCAAATGTCTTCTTCAGAGTTCAACCCTTTCTAAAATATCCAAAGTCTCTTAATTGTGGACTCCTGTAAAATCAAATGTAAATTAAATACTTTCTTACTCCAGTAAGGAAGAACCAGGGCACAGTTACATTCTAAACAAAGCAAAACCAAAAACATTAGTGTAGAAAGTTCAATACTTGACATCTAGTACCCATTCACCATCCTTTTGGGCTCTGCGGGAGCCTTAGCTGTGGTATTTTTCCAGCTCTGCCATCTGCTCAGGCTGGTTCTGTTCCATAGAAGTTGCTGTTCTTAGTGGTCATCCCATGATATTGGTATCTCCAAAATATTGGGGTCTGCACTGCAACTAGGCTGTATAGCTACCAATAAGCTCTTCATGACTCTCTTTAGGGACTCTGACCCTGAAATGTGCAAGCATTAACTTCTCCCCATGATCCTTGGGACTTGAACTTCAACTAAACCTGGGAGACTTACATATAATCTGTAAAGGACTCTCAAAGTTTGGCTGCTAGCACAAGGTAGACAATCTTGCCTCCCTCTGGACCACAGCTTCTGTGTGCTGACCCTGAGGAAATACTTCTCAGAAGATTTCACCTCACTGATGTTGGTCTGTTCTCAGCTCCAGCCAGCCCTTGTAAATTGTCCCAGTATAGGTCTTACTTCAGTGGTGCTGGTCTCTTCCTAATCACAGCTGGTTCTTAAACCCCAGCTGACCAGAGCCATATATTCTCAATTCAAAATATTATACAAACAGCCCTCATATAATCTGTAAAGGACTCTCAAAACTTCTCTCTTTAGTTTCAGCTTCATAAGCTGGCCTCTACCATTTGCATTTCTCTCAACACTCTTCCAAGATCCCAAAGAACAACCTACTGAACTCTGAGCACTCAACAGTATTTACAACCCCCTCTCCCAAATACATCAGGTCTAGCACAGCAACACCCCACTTCTGGTACCAATTTCTGTCTTTGGGTTTCTGTTTCTGTGATAAAATCAACCTGGGGAGGAAAAAGTTTATTTCTGCTTACAGTTCTGTATCACAGTTGATCACTGAGGAAAGTCAGGGCACAGGAACCTGGGAGAGGAACTGACAGAGAGGCTGTGGAGAGGTACTATTTACTAACTTGATCTTGGCTTGTGAGTTTGTTTTCTTACACACCCAGAACCACTTGCCTAGGGTGGCAGCACCCATAATAGATTGGGCCCCGTCACATTAACCACTAATCAAGAAAATGCACCATAGGCTTGCTCACAGTCCAGTCTGGTGTGGGAATCTTTTAGATTGAGGTTCCCTCTTCCCAAATGACTCTTGCTTGGGTCAAGTTGACATAAAGCTAACCTAGACAAGACATCTTAGGTTAGGGTAGCAAGTGAAAGTTGGAGGACTGTGGGTAGAGATGAAGGTCTTAGCACATGCTAATGTCCTACAAAAGAAGGGATAGAGCTGGGTGATTAATATTGAAAGAATTTTGAGGCATATCCTGGTATCAGGAACACTGTAACAAGAAGATCTGGGGATCTAAGAAGGTTGAGCCAGTACTTGGGAGGCTAAAGCAGAAGGGTCTTGACTATGTCATGGCCATCTTTGGCTACATTACAAGAACTCATCTCAAATAAAACAAAAATTGAATTTCTGTTAAGTTGCCATCTCAAACAAAACAAAAATGAATTTCAGTTAAGTTGCCATCTAGGCAGTTTTTTAAAGGTTTTATTTTATTTTGAGACAAAGTCTCCCTGCGTAGTTTTTTGTCTGGCCTGGAATTCAGAGAGATCTTCCTGATACTACCTCCTAAGTGCTGCAACTAAAGGTGTGTACCACTATGCTGGACCTTAGCCTTGACTCTTATATTTCCCAACTCCCTTGGTGTAACAAATGAAACTGTAGATCTGGGAGAGGCTCAGCAAGTGCTAGGTTAGTCTTTTTTTTTTTTTTTTGATAAACTGTATTGTAAAAATAACAGCGAAAATTAAAACATCTTGCAAATAAAAAAAATCACATACCAAAGTAATGAGACTCAAAATCTGTATGACTCAATAAACTTCTATAGTTAGTTTTAAATTTTTCTTTAATAATTTATTTTATTATTTTATATTTATGAACGTTTACATATATTTATTAACATACACAAATGTCTGGTGCCCATGGAGGTCAGAAGAGGGCATCACATCCCTTGGACTGGAGTTACAGACACTTGTGAGCTGCCATGAGAATCGAATTCAGGTCATTTGCAAAAGCTAAGTGCATTTAACATCTAAACCATCTCTCTAGCCCTTCTGTACAGTTAGAATAGGCATTCAGAACAGAAGCTGTGAAGCTTCACATTAAATTTTATACTTTCAATATTGAATATATTTTATGCACTTACCACCAAACCCCCAAAATCCATGACAGAATTAGTACTAGAAAAACAGTTAGCTTATTTTATAACTCATGTCCACTACCATCCAGTTCTTCCTATACCATCCTGTGTATAACCCTTATGTATTAGCCTTTCTTGTTCTTCTTCCTTCACGTTATACTATACCCACATGTGCATTTGTTTGTATATATATAAATATCATTGGCTAGATTCTGCATATGAGAGAGAACACAGATTTCTTTCTGAGATTGTGTGACCTTGCTCAATATTATACATTTAATTCTATCCATCTTACTGCAGTTCTTAAACTTTATTTTTCTTTAGAGCTGAGTAGTATTCTGTGTGTGTGTGTGTGTTTGCACATGCACACCAGATTTTTGTTATCCATTCATCTGTTGGTGGACAACTAGGTTGATTCCAATTCTTTCTTAGGCAAAGTCTTTGAAAGTAGAGATAGGTGGCAGGCAGAAGCAGAAGCAGGCAGATCTCTGTGAGTTTGAGGTCAGCCTGGTCTACATAAGGAGTTCCAGGACAGTAAGGATTACATAGAAAGATACTTAGAGAAAAAAAAGTTGCCGGGTGGTGGTGGTGTACGCCTTTAATCTCAGCACTCGGGAGGCAGAGGCAGGTGGATCTCTGTGAGTTCGAGGTTGGGCTGGACCGACAGCCTCCAAAATAATACAGAGAAACCCTGTCTTGTAAAACAAAAAAAACAAAAAAACAAAAAAAGAAAAAAGAAAAAAGAAAAAAATAGTTATAGGGAATGGAGAGTTGGCTCAGTGGTTATGAGCACTTGCTTCTCTTACAGAGGAACTGGGTTTGATTGCCAGCACCCATGCCATAGCTTATAACCATTTGTAACTCCAGTTCCAGAGTATTGAACACCCTCTTCTGGCTTCTACAGTCACTGTACCAGCATAACTTGTAGACAGAACACCCATACACATAAAATAGAATTAAGTGGTTTTTGTTTTGCTTTTTGAGACAGGGTTTCTTTTTCTTTTTCTTTTCTTTTCTTTTTTTTTTTTTTTTTTTTTTTTTTGAGACAGGGTTTCTCTATATTGTTTTGGAGCCTGTCCTGGAACTCACGTGGTAGACCAGGCTGGTCTTGAACTCACAGAGATCCGCCTGCCTCTGCCTCCCAAGTGCTGGGATTAAAGGCATGTGCCACCAACACCTGGCCTGAGACAGGGTTTCTCTGAGTAGCTTTGGAGCCTGTCCTGGAACTAACTCTTGTACACTAGGCTGATCTTGAGCTCACAGAGATCCATCTATCTCTACCTCTCAAGTGCTGAGATTAAAGGTGTGAGCTACCACCACCTGGCTCAGAATTAAAGTTTTTAAAGTGAAAATAATAATCTTATGAAGCTTCTGTTAAAAATGTACTCTTGTGAGCTACAAACTATAAAACATTCGTAATAGTAACCAAGTAAATATTTTAAATTTCATGTTAGGCCTAGGTTCACATTCTGAGATTCTGTTTTTTAGAGTTTATCAAAGTAATGATCGTTGAAGAACTTACTTTTTCACTAATAATAGTCCCCCTTTTTTATTTCTAATCAAATTGATTGGAAATTTTATGTTTCTGCCTTTTCATGATAGAAGTCCTTTATTTTCTCACATTCTTCCTGTCTGTGTTTTCTCTTGATGTTTGTTGTCTGTCTCAGGTCACTGATTATAGGAAGGTAGTTCACAGTTTTGCTGTACCAACTCATCACATTTTAAAAGCAATTACATTTATAAAATCCAAAAGAGTGCCTGTTTTATTATTAATTCCCACAAGTTTTCTGTGTTCAGGAATTTCTTAAAATGTGGTAAGAATTCACTTCAGTATTAACATAACACATTACCAGATTTACTTGGTGGTTTCTTTATTTACAATGTACAGAAGTTAAAATAGTAATTGGGTATTTGGAATCGGAACATTCTGAGTGTATTTTAGTGGCACTGTTATTTAGATTTGGAGGCACAGGATGGGAGCCACCTGTTCAGAGAGTAACTAAAATCTGCTTCTTATGTTTTTTAGAGGCTTCGTGATGGAGTGATCAGAGACATTGAGAGGCAGAATCAGAAAAAAGAAAACATTCGTCTTTTGGGAGAACAGATTATTTTGACTAAGCAACTTGAAGCAGAAAGAGAGAAGATGTTGGAAAGAGGATCTCAAAATACTTGACTATGAAAAATTGATGGGGCAGTGCTGGGTTTATGTGTATATATGTGTGTGTGTGTTGATAGAGAATAGTTAGTGAAAGCTGTCCTTCCCCTCCCCCCCGTCACTGTCCACTTAAACTTTATTAAATAAAGGACAGTGAATCCTGTCTTAAATCATTCTTTTAAGAGTCTGTTCTGTCTGGATAAAGTAGTCGTGGGCAGATACTCTTGTGAAGTTGTCTGGGGGATTCTGCAGCAGCCTGTCAGCTTAGGTGTGCTTGTGAGCAGGGAATGATGGAGAGTAACATCCACCTGGGTGGTCTGCTCAGCCGGCATGATGATGAAGCCACCAGAACATCCACCTCCGAAGGGCTGGAGGAAGGGGAGGTGGAGGGAGAGACTCTCCTAATTGTTGAATCAGAGGATCAGGCATCAGTGGACTTATCTCACGACCAGAGTGGGGACTCCCTCAACAGCGATGAAGGAGATGTATCGTGGATGGAGGAGCAGCTGTCTTACTTCTGTGACAAGTGCCAGAAATGGATCCCAGCCAGTAAGGAGCTTCTCAATTCCTTTGATTGGTCGGTCCCTGTGTGATGGTTTGTCTTCCAGTCTGTGAAAAACACTAATAAAATAGACTTGAAAAAAAAAAGATAATTATTATATTTATTATTATTAGTCTAGTTGACCAAATGTAAATTTGTCAAAACCACATTATTTTGTTTTTAGTTTTTTAAACATTCATTTGTTTTATATGTATGTGTGTGCCTGAGTGTATGAACACCATGTCTCTGCAGTGCTTGCAGAGGTTAGAGGAGAGGAGCTCTGACATGGTTGTGAGCCACTGTGTGGGTGCTGAGAACTGAACACGTAGCCTCTGCAACGGTTGTAAGTGTTCTCAACTGCCAAGCCATCTCTCCGGCCTCACAAAACCACCGTTGTACTAAATTTATTAACCACTATCCCATTGTTAAATTAACATTCTGGGTGGTAGCCTAAGAAAAACTAGGACTCCTATGTCACTTAAGGAATCGGCCGTATTTTTCTAAAAAGATTATGCTGTGGGTTGGGGGACACATTCTGTTGTTGCCAGTATAGAATTAAAGGTTCAAGTTCATAGAACTTACTGTGTTATGTTTGACATTTGTGGAAAACTGCTATTGTCTTCTGATGGGAGGTTAGAATTGGCAGTGCAACAGTGTTTGCTTCCTGCCTTTGGACTAGGCTTATTTTCTAGTGTGGGCCTCCTTTATCTGCTGGAAGGAATCACAATGCACAGATCTTGAGGTATTTGGCTGCCTGCTTCATAGCATGCTTTGTCAGCCATCATGATTTGTACCCACACAGTATTTTCTAGTAGGCAAGAGACAAGGCATGTGTACTGGAGGAACACTGTTAAAGTTCATAGTTGGTGAAATAGAGATATGATACACTTAGTTAAGTTGGTCATTTTCTTGTTAAAAATGGATCCAATTGTTCTAATTAATAGCTTCTGTAAATAGGTTAATAATTTACTACAGTTCATAGAAAACAAACCTAGAATTGACTATTTAGCTAGTTTTTGATTCTCAGCTATCTAGTAAAACTGGGTTCCTCCCCATATTTCTGGCTTTCCTATTGTCCTCCCAGGGTAAATTTTAAGGTGACTTTCATGATTGGGCTCTGCTAACTTTTTTCAGGGAGGTAGGTGAACATTTCATTCTTTCTAAATAACGCTTGGCTCCCAGGACTTTGTACCTTTTTGTTTTCTCTGGAATATGCACCTGGACTGCTTCCCTGCACTCCTGATCCGCATGCAGCCTTCCCCTAGGCCCGGTAGATCCCTTTTCGCTCCCCAGTGGGGTTGGACATCCCTTTTTCCTCCTATGCCCTTACACTGTCCTGTGATGCATATATAGTCTACTCTGGAAGTTTTCTTGGTACACAAAGCCTCAGTGTCACCTAGGAGCTTTAATGTAGAGCCTAGACCTGGGCTCAGAAACAGAAGCACTTCATCTGGGGCAGACATGGCTGTAGTAGGGATATAAAGCCCAGCCGCCTGGTGGTTCTGATGCTCCATGAGAATCCAGAACCAGTGCAGTTGTGTTTACCTGTGTTCTCTGCTGCCTCCAGATTTATGAGCCCACGAGAGCAGGCGCCGGTCATGTCATGTCTGCCTTAGACATTGCATATCTAGCTCCTAGCCTGGTGCCTGGCTGGTACTACAAGCTCAGGTATTCCCTGAAAGAATGTTTGAAGAGACCTGCCTAGAGAAGTCAGGAATGCGGCTGCTGGGAAATCCAGTTAGAGCAATCTTACCTGCTTTTCCAGGAACTTTCTCCTTAAAAGCTAAGGAGCCACGGGTTCTAGGAGGGGCATGCGCCTGACTTTAGAAGGAGAAACACCTTTTTCCTCTCCTCTGCTACTGTCCTGGGTTGATTGCAGAAAATGAAAAAGCCCACCATGGGAAACTTGGAAATCTGGACAATTAACTGAGCCGTTGGGTTGCCACTGCATGAGATAAATCCATGATGTGACTTTTGTTTTTTCTCGTAGGTCAGCTAAGGGAACAGCTCAGTTACCTTAAGGGCGATAACTTTTTCAGGTTTACTTGTTCCGATTGCTCAGCAGATGGCAAGGAGCAGTGCGAGCGGCTGAAGCTGACATGGCAGCAAGTGAGTACCAAGCTCTTCTCAGACGCAGCAGGTTAGCTGCCCAAGAAATTGGAACGATTATCCAGAGAGAGGAACTTCAGAGTGGTCTGGGGGTGGGGTGCTTCACGCTTCACAATGAAAAGGGGTACAGTGTGTGGAAAGAACACTTCGTGCTTTAAAAAACAAAACCTCGATGCTGATGTAGTGAATTCTTGAGAATCTGAATCAATTTCGTTTGTGTCATACTAAGCTTACAGTCGACTGAAAACCAGGCCCACATTTTCTGGCAGTCATTTCTGGCATAATAAAACCAGAGGTGGCTACACTGGAAATAGATTTGGCAGAAACAATTTGAATTGATAACAAAGACAAAGTAACCAATTGATTTAGCCTTTCTGCATTTGGAAACAAGTCTTTATTGATGGATACTTTTTTAGCAGTCTCAAGTACCAGCACTCTAGATAGTAACTTTTTACTGATCTTCAGGCTATATGGTTTGGTTTTATTTTATATATATATAGTAAGGTAACAAGTTAAAAATAAAGAACTACAGGAATCCCTGGTTTTGTTGATGTTTGTGATGCTGGGGTCAAACTCGCACGACCTTGCTTACATTCAGTGCTATCCCTGTGGACTGTGTTCCAGACCCCCCTGGGTGTCTTGCTTTTTAGTTTATTTTTATTTATTTGACACATACTGAATGCCTACAATAAACCAGGTACTATTTGAGGTCTGGAGAGTACTGTGGTAGATGAGCCAACTGAAGCCTCCACCCCTAGGCCTTAGGGGCCACTGACATTCCACAGGCAGATAAATGTGATAATTGCCCTAGCACTCTTTGCCTTGAAGAAAACAAACGTTTGGGGGAAGATTTTAGATGTGCTGTGTTGGCTACTTGGGGTGTTTCTTGTAGACTGTAGTAGCCATAACAATCTGAACAGCTGTCCTCATTGCCAGTGCTTTATTAGGTCACCCCAGGAAACCTGTCTCTTACCTTAGGAAGCTGCTTTGACTTGCCAAAAATGCATAGGTAGAAAATGAAGGAAGTTTGAATTGAGCATATAGTTTCATGAGGGGTCACAATTACACTTTACCCTCCTGTAGATGGCATATTATATGTAGGCTAGGAGTGTTACTACAAAGAGAAGTACAAATACATGGACTTGTATTTAGCCTGCAAGCAGCATCTCATAAAAGCTGTAAAATGGAGGAAAGCAAATATAAGGGGTCATTTTCAAGAATGTTAGTTTTCTAACATGTTAGAAATGTAATGTTTTTGAAAGAAAACTTTGTCTTGGGGAGGGCATTAGGGTTTCTCTGTGGCTTTGGAGGCTGTCCTGGAACTAGCTCTTGTAGACCAGGCTGGTCTCAGAGATTCGCCTGTCTCTGCCTCCCAGGTGCTAGGATTAAAGGCGTGAGCCTATACCACCCGGCAAAAACTTAGTCTTCTAATCCTCAGAATATGGATTATTGACCCCCATTATTTTAGTACCGATTGGGAAGACTTTTTCACTTCTAGATACATTGGCTAGATAATACCCTGGAAGGAAGAAGTGATGAATTATGTATCTTAGATATGCATAAGACTTAGGCATACATTCTCATAAACTACCAATGTTTCTGGCAGCAACTGGAAAAGCTTGTCTTACCGGAAACCTGAAAGAGAACCAGCTAGTCCTCAGTGACTTCAGTAGGGGTCCAGATACTTTGAGCATTATAATCTGTGTTTTCAGCTTTTTAAACCTCAAACTTTGATTTACTGCAGAAGTAAGGAAGATGCTTGCAACACATAGCATTTTCTTTGCATTACAAAATCCCTCCAGTAAAGGTCGCCCTCTGGATTGAAGACCCCTTTCTTCCCTCCATGCCCCTCTGTGTCTTCTCTTCTCGGTGACTCTTGACTTGCATGCAGTACCGAGGAGAAACTTGGAGAAACTTCGAAACACATGGGGGCCAGAGACATTTGCACATTCTTGTCCGGGGCCTCCTTCAGCAGGCAGCTCCCGAGTGTCCGCCGTGTCTCCAGTTCAGACAGCCTTATGGGCCCTGGAGATACTGTCCAGAAGACCAGATTCCTTACGGTGAATTTGGTCTGGTGTTGCGAGTAGAAAACTGATCTGGCTTTTCAGTTTTTAGATCATGATCTGGAAGAGGAGGAACAATAGATCCTTTCAGATTAGGATTTAGTGTGTCCAACGAATACTGGTAACAGAAAAGCTGTTTTCAAGTAAATAACTTGTAATTCATGAAATATGTTAAACATACTGGAAATAATAACGAGCAGGCATCTGTGCTTGAGATTGGCAGTGAATACATTTTATGAGTAAGAGTCTGAGAATGGCAAAGCTTATTCCATAACTAAAGTGTATGTTGAATGATAATTTTCTCTTTCTGTATAAGAGATATAGAATATAAGATGTACTGTTTTTCATTGTTCAAGTGTAACCATCTCCAAAACTTGATCTCCTCAGACTGAAACTTCACGTCCATTAGGTGACTCTCCATGAGTTTTAACTATTGGCTGAAGCTGACCTAATGTAAAAA